GGAAGGAGACAGGAAAAATGATGGATTAAAATGGAAGGGTGGGATCAAATGGAAGAGGCTAATGGGCACGTCCTTGAAAGAGCTCCAGTTATTATCAGAGGTGGGTCAAGATGGCCCAGGCTTGTCCAGGCACTCACCAGGAGTCAAGCCAGACTCAAAAGCAGTAAACGAAAAGAGCTGGACTCGCTCGGTGTGGCAAGGCACCAGGCTTGTCCAGGCACTCACCAGGAGTCAAGCCAGACTCAAAAGCAGTAAACGAAAAGAGCTGGACTCGCTCGGTGTGGCAAGGCACCAGGCTTGTCCAGGCACTCACCAGGAGTCAAGCCAGACTCAAAAGCAGTAAACGAAAAGAGCTGGACTCGCTCGGTGTGGCAAGGCACCAGGCTTGTCCAGGCACTCACCAGGAGTCAAGCCAGACTCAAAAGCAGTAAACGAAAAGAGCTGGACTCGCTCGGTGTGGCAAGGCAGAAAAAAAGTGAGCCATGCTTAGTACATTTGGGGTGATTGCAGTTGCTAAAGCTTTCCTTGACCTGATTTCACACGTTACGTGAATGTTGACTGAGAGATCCGAGACAAGCAGCGTGGGTGGTGACAACCAATTGTGGAAACTCATTCAAAACAGCAGGCGTGTGCCAAGCTGCCTACCATCAATCCAAGAACATCCTGGCCAGTCCAACCCACTCCAGATAGGCTGGACTGCATCTCACAGCACACTCCACCCAGCACATTCCATTCCCGGGCTTAGTGAGGTGTAACCCAACACATCTGGGTGGCACCAGCTTGGCAAACATTATGTAAATGGGCAGGTTTTCACGCCCAACACCAATTCCCTGTAGAAATGAAAAAGCAAAAGCTTGAATTTAAACCCAGTCAGCATCACAGCTGAAACCCAGAAGGTAACCTGACCCCTTTTTGAAGTATGGGAGGGTTCACACAACCACCCTTAACCAGTCACTGGCTGAAACAGGAGAGAGAAAACTATAGAGATGGCTAGCTTATACGTATGATACATTTCTTTTTGTTTTGTACCACCTCAGTTTCAGGATACTTGGAGCCCAAGCAGCTTTAGCTCGCGGAATGATGATTAACTGCAGTTTATCTGAAGAAGGATCATGTGCTTAGACATCTCCAAGCAACTTCCAGGCCTCTGTAATGGAGACATCAGCAGCTTCGTAATCTCCAAATCTTTTGGTGGCAGTCACTATAATCCTTCGCCAATGGCCATGCTTCTTCAAGTCACTGGGAGTTCTACACTGACAAATATCCACAACAGTGTTTCTCAACCTCGGCAACTTCAAGATACATGGACTTCAACTTCCAGAATTCCCCAGCCAGCCATCTGTAAAGTTGCCAAGGTTGAGAAATCCTGAACTACAGGATATATCAAGCGGCTATTTTCATACAAGGTCGCCTCTGCTTTTGTCTTTTCAGCCCATATACAGCTTTGCAGTTGTGACTGTTTTCAGCCACAGGTAACTTAGAGTGAGAAAGATCACGGCGCAGGAAAGCCGAGCAGACCGCCCAAGTTCCAGGTTCGCTAAAGGAGGTCTCTTTACCCTTCCACAACCGGAGTTCAAGGTAGAGGACAGCATCAAGACACCGGGGCATACGGACGCCATGTTTGCCCATGTGCATTTGCAGCACAAAATTCAACTTCAGCTGCGGGAACTTAGGAACTTATCCAGCCGTCCTCCCCTGGGGCATCTCCCAGCCACGTGGACTTCAACTCTCACAACTGCCACTGCCAACAATTCTGGGTGTGGAAATCCACACATCTGGAAGGCACCAAGTTTGGGGGATGCACAAACGAGGCTGGTCCGTGTCCCAGAAAAAACAGGAACTGCATTACAAACCTCCCACCTTCAGCGAAGGCAGTTTTCTTCCTCTCGGCCTCTTCCGAAGGGCCCTCTCGACTCATCATCTGAGCCCGGCTCCACGTCAAGACAATTGTGAAACCTCTTGGGAGCATTTGGCCAAGTAAATATTGTTACTGTACATTATTACTGTCGTTTTATTCTCTTTAAAATCCCTGACAGCCTCCCCCCACCCCCGAGCCCCTCCAAAGCGAGGTAGGGATAAATCATGCAAACAAGATAAAAATAAGGAATTCCGTGAGTAGGATGGAAGAGCGGAGAGGGAAAGCTAATTTTAAGATTTTCATAATGCCATCCATCTTCCAAAATGTAGTGCCCCCTAGGTCCGTTGGATTCCGACTCCCACACTCCCCAGCCTGGACCTGAAGTCCTACACAAACAGACGGAGATGTTCCCTTTGTTATCTGTTCCCAAATGTGTAAAAAGCCAAGTGCCACATTCAGCAACCAGCAAGGAAAGACATGTAAAAACAGGTTTTCAGTCCTAGAAGTCAAAATCCATCACCCTGCTAGTTTTTAGAGTATGAACTGACTAGAGGGTGAGATGCGGTTTTCTTTCAATGATTTTATTTTTAAAAAAATTAAAGACCTCCATGGCACAACTTCTCAGCACAATTAAGGGTTAGTTTAAACAGTGACACTACAATTTCATCCAGGTAAATCCAAGGCGGAGGGGTGGGGGGAACAACCCAAATCTAAATTTCAACAGAATTAAAAAAAGATCACTTCAAACAAGATCTTAAAAAAAAAAAAAAAAAGTCAAATTTGCAATTAGGACTATTTATACTGGCTTTTTTTTCTCTCTTCCGGCCATCTAACACAATGCAAAACCCCCCCAAGAAAAGAAAATCCCCAGGAAGTGCTGAGAAATTTAAAAAAAGTGTTCTGATACAACGTATACAGATGAGGTAATTTACAACACAGATGTTGTTACAATCTGCAGGTTTCCTTGGTGCCTCCCTGTTTGGGCAGCAAGGCCAGGATAAGCACCGGGAAGAAAGTTTAGATCGGTGTTTCTCAACCTCAGCAACTTTTAGATGCGTGGAGCTTTAAATCCCCCACTTCCCCCCCCAACCCGCCTGGGGGGATTTGGGGGGGGTGCGTCCCCCC